ATATAATAAAAAGTGAAGTATTATAGTCAAAGTCATTTAAAGAGCCGTTTGTGAGCCAAAAGAGCCGGCTCTTTTCAGAGCTGAGTCAAATAAAGAGCCGAATGCTCATCACTACTATGCGTGCTTTAGAACACCCGCCCAACTCTACCTCTGATTGGCTTACAGTGACAGTGACTACCTCAGCCAATCGTCAGCATTTATGCGCTTGTCTCGTGCTCAATGGAAGAACAGTAAAAAAGTGTGCCTCTCGCTCAGAGATCTAGTTGGTCTGATGAAAAAAACAACAGCTTCATCAGTTGTTATAGTAACGGGACGCATTTTTGGTAGTAACGGTAACGGCGTTGTTAGGATGAGAAGAGTAATCAATTAGATTACTCGTTACTGGAAAAAGTAATACCGTTAGTAACGGCGTTATTTTATAACGCCGTTATTACCATCACTGACAGTGAGTGACTGACCTAGTCTTATCCTGCGCACGGCTTCCAGGATCGATTTTATCCTGGCGGGCGCCAAACGGGCTCTCATAGTTTTCGTATCCCATACTACGCCCAGAAAAGTGGTGTTCTCGAACAGCCACGCTCATCATTTGCTGGGCTCTATGCGAGGAGGACATACTCGGCTGGGGCTGCTCCTGCCCAGCAGCCCCAGAGACATTTTTTTTGAGTGACGAAATTTTTGAAAAGCAGCTGCCTGCTTCTTTGCTTCCTGAAATCTCTCGACGACCGAATTCACTGAATCGCCGAAAAGACCAGTAGGGAAGACAAGGAGCATCTAGCAAAAATCTCTTATCTTTTTCATTGATTTCAGAAAAATTTAACCAGAGATGCCTCTCTGTGGCCACCAGAGCTGCCATAGACCGGCCGATAGATTTTGCCGCTTCCCTGGTGGCCCGAAGAGACAGATCAGCTGCCTTCCTGATCTCTGCTATCGTCTCTCTCCCCACTTCCTCACATTCGTCATCTATATCTTTCAATAAATCAGCCTGGACCATCGTGTGTAAACTGGCGGCCGCCTGACCTGCTGCCGAGTATGCCCTAAAGCTGCGGGGCTTTCAGTGATGATGCAGACTCGGGGGAGAGATAGCCCGCGAGCGTCTCTTCCACCTGAGGCATCGCCGCATAACCGTGTTTCTTTAACCCTACTATATTTGAGTACTGAGATGTTGCTGGGTTAAACACTCTAAATGATGCCGGTCTAATCCATGACTTCGATACCTCAGTATGAACGTCGGGAAAGAACGGTAAGCCCCGCTTTGGAGGTTGTGATCTAGACGGCAAAAATCTTTCATCTAACTTACTTTTTGCCTTACATGATTCCTGCTCACCGGCTGACCAGTCCAGATTTAACCTGGCAACAGTGCGAGTGACAACCTCCAAAAGCTCCTCTTGTGTGAGTGTAACTGTGTGTGGTGTAAACTCTTCATCCCCTAAGCTCACAACATCCACTTCCTCAGAACTGGAGTGTTGCTGCGCTTGTGCTTCAGCACGAGCAGAAGAAACCGCAGTGCGTGCTTCTGACTCGCAAACTGAAGCGTCGGATTCAACGGTAAAGGAAAGAGATCACCCGTCTCTAACCCCACTGCTAAATCCATTTGTGAACCCCAGGATGCACGCCTCCGCTGTGCCTCAGCAGCAGCGGGAACCGAGCCCCGGGAAACGCGAGCCCAAGCACCCTCCTCAAAGAGTGCTCGGCGGGACCGGAGAGTTCTCATTGCCAGCTTCTCACAATGCTTACAGCCAGCCCCCTCGAGGGCTGACTGGGCATGCTTCAATCCCAAACACATCACACACAGCTCGTGTGTATTCCCACCCGTGATAAAACGAGGACAGGGCGTAACACACTTTTTAAACTGTTCCATTTTTCTTATATAGAGAGACAAACACACATCAAATAGACAGAAACGATTTCACATAGAGCACTTGTGAAGACACAGAAGCTAGTGTTTGCCGGTTCAGGGGTGCTTTATAGGTTCCTGGTCAATGACGTCACCCGCCATAGGACGTCTCGTAACGCCATTGGACTGATTTCACGAGTGCTTCATGACGAAATCACGCAGGGGCGTTCCCACAGCGCTATACGCAGCGTTGAGTTCCCTTGAAAGGAAAACCGAGCGTTTTTGAACTAGGCTCAAAACTAGGGTCGAAAATAGCCTGTTACTTATTCATTTTGATGTTTTCGAATGTAAAAACCAAGCGAACGTCATGAGTTGACCTCAGACAACAGTATAATAAAATTTAAAAAGCAGTTCATGACCCCTCTAAGATTCCCTATACATTAATTGATCATTCCTTTTGAGCTAAATTGGCCTGTCTGGCCCCTTAAATACATATAAATAACTATTATTATTATACGTAAGTTGTCTTACACAATGCAAGCTGTTACCCCAAGTTTTTAGTGGGAAAGCTTCACACCACTTTGTGAAATAGATTGCATACTGTACCTTACACAAATGTACTGATAGGCCTCTTTAGTTGGAGTAAGCTTTCCCATTAGATCCATGCTAATGACCTATGGCTCAGCCGCCTGATAAAAACCCACATACTCTAGAATAGATCCATCGGTACTCTCTTAAAGTAAGAATATTCTTCCTTACACAAACTTACATCTATAGGGGTATATTCTGCTTTGTCCTTAATTTCAACTTGGTTTTTTTTCTGACATGCTGTGCATAACTGATACAAGCACCTGCTCTTACTCTTGTTTTCCCTTTTTTTCTGAACATTTTGATTATCCTGACACTTGCGGCCTCCGCCTATTTAAGAACACTTCACCTTGGCCTACCTCATGAAACTTGTTGTTCGGTGGTTTTGGAGTTTGTTTTTCTTTCCTTTTGTACAGGAAGGATGATGAGTTTCTGTTTCTTTACATAGTTATGTTAGAATAGAGGGAAAGCAAAGTTTGTAAGCTAAATATTCTTTTGAGTTTTTTGTTTTTCTTGAAAGTTAAAGTTTTAACTCTGTTGTAGTTTAGATTAGTTAGCTAACCAGTTTTGTGTTTTTCTGTGTTCATATTTTCCCTTGTTTATTTGTTTTGTTATTTTTTGATGACAATAAATGTGATTTTTTTTGCCCTGGCCATTGTGATTTTGTTTTTCTGAATGGCTTTTCATGTTGGTTCCTAATCTGGGTCGTAATATTGGGGGTTCGATCGTTATGTCACTGGACTACCTTTGTTTGCAATGCATTGCTACTTTTGCCTTTTTTTGGTAGCATGCTTTGGTCACTAAATTTGATGCAATGCTACTTTAGATTGTTTATAGCTTGCTGTGTAATGTTTAATGCATAGCTATTTAGTTTTTTGTAGCATGCTTTTATTTAATGCATGGCTGCTTTTTGTCTCTTTATTTTGTGATTTATTCCTTACTTTTTGTTGAATGATTTGTTTTGTTTTGTTTTGTTTTTTTGCTGTCTTTGCAAATTGAATAGATATGCATCTTTAGGTGTGGGTCAACAAAATAGCACCAACCAAAGAAAAGTGTTGAAGTTATCGAACTATCTTAAATACTACACTATTTATATTTGATAAGAAAAAGCAATATGTTTCTTTGTAAAATGTATTGAGGTTTTTCAAAGCATTTATTCACTATCTAAAATACTTTTATAGTAAGATAAAGTGAGAATGTTCGCGAAAATCGTGGGATCAAGGAGAAATTACATCAAGAAACTACAGAATAAAATATTATAGATATATCATAATAAAATATTTGATAATATTTTAATATTTATTTATTACTGTACCTTAATTCCCTTCTTTTTGTGCCTTGTTTACAGTGTGTTTTTGTGTTAACTTGTATAACCAACAATTACAAAAAGGTTAGGCCCCGATAAATGATGGCACACTCAACTGCTTAATTAGCAGTTGAGTAATGCCAAAAGAACCGCTATACAGAAAACAACTGTTGCAAAATAATCTATATAATAATAACATTTATGAAAGCCTACTTAGTTGCCCACGCCCACGATAGGGTATTCTCATGAATATTCATGATAGCGCCAACCATTGGAACCAAAGAATATTGTAACATCATCGGCTCCTTACTCAAGTAATAACAGACTTTAATAACTGACTATTTGTATGATTGTGTTCTCATATATATATATAGGCTATATTTTAAATCGAAACAACTTTAAACATATTTGTAATCTCCACCGCCCATTTGAAAGGTTTCAGGACAATCATCCCCGTTAACCGGCTCACAGGAGTTAATCCAGCATTCACGGCTTAGGCTACTACACCCAATACCTCGGTCACACGAGGATAGATTTATACATTTGTTTTCCTTTATTAGCCTTTTGACAGCCTACATATTGAACCATCCACGTGTTTTCAATTAATGTAAATATATTTACGAAAATGCTTTGGTCTGTGGACCCGTCTTTTAAATGAGATCTTTGGAGTTCCTGAAGGCAGCGCTCGTCAGCCATTTCACCTGCGCGCGACACCTGTTCCGCTAACTGCCCGCGACGCGGTTCAGTCCGATAAATATTATCAATA